AACCATTTTACTGTTGTTAGTATCGAGCCGATCTGCCCCAGTGCGCATAAGTCCACAAAACAGACTGACTTGCCGGTAGTTTTCCTATAAAAGTTCTTGTGCTCTAATAATTTTTTTCAATATTAAATGTATCCAAAACTTTACCCTCTAAATAAAACAATAACTCTACACAGCACGTCCCTCTTTAAATCATCAAAATACATCTCTATACCAAATATATAGTATATCTAATAGACGAATTAATTCTGGATAACCAATCGAGTGGAACTCAACGAGCGTAATCTCATTCGACTGACCTCGCTTATTAGGATGCTGCTGTATTTATACCTACTTGTTTCTTTTCATGAGCTCGACCTAAATAAAGATTAAAGAGGGGACCTCAATCTCTCCTTTAACTGCCGCTAACCTTTCAACGAGGGATAATTGCACTTCAAGTTGGATGAGTTTGTGTTTAGATTTGCTTAGGGAATAAAAAGCGTCTTTTTGCATTTAAATTGTGCTGGATTTAGGAAACTATTTTCAAAAGTAACTGGTTGTTATCTTTATGCAAGGAGATAATCCGTTAATCTAAGGCGTGATTAAGCACGTGCTATGTTCATATGTGTAAATTGCGGTAGATTATTTAAGTAAATGTTTGGTATGTTTTGAACGCCTAAATGGAATAGTGTGAATGCACAATGTAGCGGCAGTGCAGGCAGGGTGGCGGCGACAAAGGGGAGTGGGCAGGTTGTACAGACACAGGCAAGTTTGGCAGTCGTAAATGTCCCCGTTAATTAGTGGCGGGCTCCCGACGATACGGCGACAAATTACGCGACATTCAGTTGCCGCACGCAAATAAAACGACCGCGGTGTTCTGCCTGCCTATAGGGATCGATCGACCCTCCTTTAGCCTCATTTGTTAATATCGCAACCGTGTTACCTCGGATAATGATTAATGAGACGTTCAATATTATTTTAACGAATGTATTGGGCACTTATGGCTCTACATTTTTTACTTATTATATTGGGAGAGGTTAAGGTGCACGAGTCCTCTAGCCTTATATATTTATTCATATTATATTGCTACATTTTGCAGCGATACTAACGCGATTCAGACTCTTTAGATATTTGATCGTCTAACTTACCAACATTTTTAAGAATTTTAATGATAATGGAATATGTAAACTACAACGACATCTAGGTATTTTGTTTATACATACTTACTTTTTTTTTTTAATTTTAATAATGATTACTCTTCAAGGTAAAATTATCGCAATTCGAAACATCTTCAATTTGTCTATCTACGGCATTTTACAAAACAGGGAGCGCTTGAAAACTGATGACGCCATTTATAAAATGACGCGTCTTGCCAATTTGCAAACGACATAGTATGTAATGTATGGTGGAAGAGCCAGAACAATCAATTTGAATCAATAATTTGCTATCATTGGAAGTATACCAAGAAAGCTATTACTTTCACATTGTAAGTAGCTCAGTCGAGAATCATCTCTTTCCCTTTTAGATGATATAGGATTTCCACGAACAATTTCATCGTGTTCGTGGAAATCCCCTACATAGTCTACAAGACATTTTCAATCTAAACAACATACCTACTTAACACATTCATATAGGTCCGCCGCGCTCTTCAAAATATTACATATTGGCCTTTCTCAGTGGCTAAATTATCTCATCTTTGTAATAAAGTACTCAGTCTTCTCTGTCTTCTATTTTTCCTATTGGAATTATCTGACTGGTGGCATTTTAATTATTAAATATAAACTCCATATTTAACTATGATAACTCAATACAAGTGTTGCTTTACTTCATAATTTATATGCGATAAAATATTTGATTTACACGCAACCCTAGGATCAGATTCAGACAAATGTATTCACGACACAACTGAATTATTCAGCAGCGAAATGTATCTATTAATTAGAGCGCAGTCATTACTTAGCATGACATGTTCGATGCAGCGGGGATGTCCGACGCAGCGAGCAGGCGCGTCCATCAGGCTGATTGGTTTCATATTGAAATGACCTGCAGGGAACATTGTGGTGCAGCTTATCTATCTGCCCAGACATGCTTCCCATTAAACTAGCGCTGTTAGCCCTAGCTACGACAAAGACCGTCGTATTGTGATTGTTGACTTACGGTTATGGTCCATGGACGATCGAGAGTTGCACTGCCCTGGAAAATAGCATCTACAATGACGGTTATAAATCACTTTGAAACATTAGTCGTTGTTCTGTCCTCATCATCAAATCATTAATTATAATTGAGAGCTGCAACTGCAATGAATCTATAGTACATGTTTTATTACGTATCACATTCGTATGTAAGCATTAATTCGACGTTTAGTTGCGAATGTGATTGTCCGGTAAGTGGTACAAGGACAGACACGCGGCCTCTTGTATGCTGTATGAAGGCACTTTGTTCTGTTGTGTCGATGTTTCGTTACTATGAAGAAATAAAAATAAAGACTTATCCTACGCAACGCTTTTAGCGTATACATATTAACCTTTAACTACTGACGTGGGGGCCTCTCAGGCCTTGCAAAAGTCAAATTGTTGAATTTCTCCTCTCCCACGTGCACGACACACCCGAATCTTTTAGTACCTTCGAGTTTCATTGCGCCGAGGCTCTCAACAACAGTGCACGTGATTGCACGCGCAATTTCAGTAGGTAAATCAATTTTAAAGTTTCTTGTGGGCCTCTCAGGCCCCCACCTCAGTATTGGCGTAACTTTTTTTGTCTATAGTTTTCATTTAGTTTTCGTCTTTTCTTGAAATAATTTGAAAAAATCTATAATATGGAGCCCACAGTATGTCGTCCGAGAGAAAGCGGTATCTGGGAAGTAAAAATAACCAGCATTTAACGAAAAATAGAAGAACAGTAGTTTTTGGCACGTATGCTAGGAAATGATATGCCTGTACCTGTCTATCAAGATTTAAACAATGAAACCAAGTCCCATACATGTCTTTTGAAGATTCAAATGAAATCTACATTTTAAAAACATGTATGGCTTCCTTCACTGAGTAAAGCAAGTTTATCCAGACTGTGTTTAATTCGCAATATTTGATGTGTGTCATTTTTTTCCCCCCTTTTCATTTTAGGATAACTGATATATGATTAGCTAAAAAGACTATTGAAAATTAAGATTCTAAGTTGATTTGTTGAATTTATGAATATTTTTCATGATAACTTTGTGAATCATGATTTCATGAGATTTTTTCCAAAAAATGCTACATGATTTCTAAATATAGAAATAATACTTACTTATTAACAAATAATTTACATAAAAATCATTTTAATGTATTTAAATATAACCACTATTAATAATTATTAAACATAAAACTCTAAAAAGGTTATATATTTTTAAATATAAGCACACATATGTACGGGCCGCTCAGGCCCCCACGTCAGTGTTTACGTGAAATTAAATCCACCTCAGTAGCTAAAGGTTAAATGGCTTATTCGTATACTATATCTCTGTTTAATTCGAAACCTGATTACGATGTTATTCATCCTATCCTATCGTATATTAGCAATCAGCGTACACATAATATGTACATAATTTAAAATAAAAACATCCAAAGTATATCATGTAAAACTTAGATATATGTATTGTTCAAACCACCTAGCAGCAAAGTAAGACCATGTACTACTTTCATTCGAAAAACCTATTCAAGCGGAAAATGAACACGTAACTTTTTGTTCTTGATTGCCGTTTGAGAGGTGTTCAATGACGTTTTTGGCACTTTCTAACTGTTTAATACTGTTGTTTTGTGCAAACAGTGAGTATGTGCAGCTGTGTCAGCGGGAGCGTGGAGCAATTTGCGTGTGCAGCGGCGCACAGTGGGTGTCCAGCCATAATGAATGGCCGACGTGTTCGCAGATTGGGCACAACACTATCGCGACCACTTGCCCTGCTGCATAACAATCCAGTGCACACTCCGCTTAACTTAATGCATATCCATCCACATTGCTTGCGCACACGCCCAATTCGTCTCAGTGTTCGAACTTGGCTTTTGGCCTTTTATATTTATTTCTACTTGACTTTGAGTGGAATATGCGAGTTCCTAAAGTTTCCTCCCCTTGTGCCTTAGAACAAGATTCTTCTGGATTCTAATATTCTTAGTGTTTTAGCATATTTTCATAAAATCTATCTCAGTCGTCCGTTTCTCGGAAATCTTTTCCTAGATGGACGTTGCATTTACATTTGCAGATCCAACATGCTCCGCTGCATAACAATTCTGAGTACTTTTTGCTTGTTGCAATTTACTTTTTAAACGACCAATTCATTTGGAAAACATAGCTAAACGTAGCCAACATAATAATATAGCCAGATAGTAAATAAAACTGAAATGGACCGTTTGTGATTGAAACTTGAACACTTGTGTTATCGAGAATGGTGCTCCCGTTACAAAACAGTTTACCGTTTCACGTCGTATTAGATCTATAGGTTAACTCATAACTACCGGTCGTGGCTGCGAAATCAGGAAATGCAACGCTTGATGATTGGTTTAGCTCGTAATCGCAAGTGCTGGTATAAGGTAGCTGGCGTGCAGGTATCGATCAAAGCTTGTTACATAACAATAAACCGCTTGTCACCGACCTGATTTTATTCACCGTGAAACTTGTACTCATTAACCTGATCAATATACATACATACGGGATACCATCGTAAACGTGTCTAATCCATTATGTATTGGCAACCTGATTAAGTCGTTCATGAATTATGTAAAATGTCATCAGACTGTCTGTCCTCCAAATTCAAAGGTCTTATAATTATTTTGAAACATGATATTGATGCTTTGGCGTTTTTGACAAAAATAAACTCATAACTTAAGTACCTTTATACATGTACAAGGAACATCAACATACGTTGATTATTATGGATTATTTCTCATCCTAAATAAACCAACTACCTTTTTTTCTTTTCAGCTCGTACAGTCTGATGAAGGTTCTGCTGCCTCTTTTTGGTCAACATTATGCTTAAAGAGAAATTTCTTTTCCAGGTGGTTAGTAAGGCGTATCAAGGGAGTTCTGGCACGGAGCTGACGAAGCTGTGCAACCACAAGCGGAAACTGCTGGCGACGCTGCAGGCGCGCGCCAACTCGCCCGCCACCCCGCCGCCGCAGCAGCAAATAGAACAGAAGAAAGGTATACCGATCATTATCATTATAATCATCATTATTTCATTTGGCCCCCACTGCAGAAGGACAACCCTCTCTAATTTATGAGAGACCACAAGCGAAAACTGCTGGCAACGCTGCAGGCGCGCGCCAACTCGCCTGCAACCCCGCCGCCGCAGCAATTCATAGAACAGATGAAAGGTATACCTATCACCATTATTATCACTATGTCACTTAGTCTCCACTGTAGTCTGTAACAGGACTACCCTTTAATTTATGAGACCACAAGTAGAAACTGCACAGCACATAGAACAGAAGAAAGGTATACCGATCATCATCATCATCAGGTCTAAATCCTCTACTGCAGGAGGACGTCGCTCTCTAATTTATGAGATACCACAAACGGAAACTGCTAGCAACGCTGCAACGCGCGGGAATTCTCCCGCGATGTGATCTGTGCGAATGATGATCTTTCATCGGTTTGCGGGTCTTGCAGTGGTGCAACAGGTCGAACTTCTCTGATTTATGAGAAACCACGCTGCAGCACATAAAACAGAAGGAAGGTATACCGATCATCTAATTCTAATTCATCAGTTCATTTAGCCTTCACTGTAGGTTCTTCTTTAATTTGCTAATGGTAAATGGAGCATTTGGCCGGTACTCGCCTCTAACCAAACTACCAAGCTAAGCTACCAAATTCAAATGGAGAATTTAGCCAGATGGGTTAGGGAGGAATACCGACCATAATAGCTAAAGTTTTTAGTATAAAGCTGATTTCGGCATAGATCTGATCTGTGCAACCACAAACAAGCTACTGCGGAAATGTCCTGATGCAGGCGTGTGCGCAAAAGCAAAACTATCATGATCTTTATAATCTCTATCTTTTAACTCATAGTATACTATTTCAAAAAGTTTACATAATGTTATTTCATTGCTGATATTGTAATCCCCTAAATAAATCATCACATCATTCAGTCAATAGAATCAATCAAGGTCGGGAACGACGAAGTTTACGAAATTGTGTTTTACATGCTGAATATTTCATGAATGAAAGTCTCACAAATCAATGAAACACTTGTAGACGTCTACAATAACATAACAAACATGATAATAGAATCCCAGTCTCAGCAGTATGAAGAACATTAGAATGGCAATCAAACGTTTAATTTACAGTATGTATTGACCGACCTCATTACTAGATCTTGTAGTTAGCAAACGTCTCATCTAGACAATGGGCCATTAGTTACGACTTTCTATTTGCAAATAATAATATCCTAGCACCGCAGTAAAAGAAAGCTCGACGAAACATTAGGTAATTGTACTAAATGAAACGAGACTCGTTCTTAATGTTTCAATTTTCTATAAATACGTCTTTGCGGTAAACAAATTACTGTGTAACTCAATCTTTAATTTCAGAAGTAAACAAGGAGAAATGAGATAACAATAAACAAATTATTATTCATGTCATAAGGAAGGGGAGAAACGTGGACTGAGAAAATTGTTGGCGAAATAACAGGGGTAGATTGCGTTTAGTACGCCGAGAAACGACATCGGTGGCATTCTTGCTCCGGCCTTTGTCGTGCCAGGATGCGAATTGCGAATGAATCTTATTTCACAAACAAGTGCTATTTCTCAGGTAGCATGTATTTTGTTATTACAATAATTCCATTTGACAAGATACTTTATTATTCAATTGATTTCTATCGGATAATTGCGTATCGAGTATACCAATACGGGTATTGTAATTGTAAATAAATGGTCTATTGTCTAGATGATGCGATGCAATACTTTAATGACGATGAAAACTATTGTGGTTATGTATAAACAAGTCAATTTATAGTTTATTTGTACTGTGTAATAATAACACATGTGCTTGAAACCTTATAGTTGGGTGAATGAATAATTGTGTAGAATTATTGTTTATCCAAAGTTTCGCATAATTGCACGACGTACATAGTTGCGGTTCCGTTGCACTACTTGGAAATCATTAACGGCTGAATGAACTGCCATAATCACGTCTGAAGTTTATGGCTGTCGTTTGCGCGCCGCTTTTGTTTAGACGTTTTTTTAACGGTCGCGTGAAACGAGCACGTCGTCACTACGTAAATGTCCCACCCCTACGCGCATTTACCTTTAAATTAAAAGCTTTTGTGTTGCACTCGGGCTTACTAACTTTGCGATGAATAAACTAAGTTTCCCAGTCAAGTGGTTTTGAAGCTGCTTTTGTTCGTGGAACTTCAGTCAACTGTTTTACAATTTGAATAGCCTTTGACGATTTTAAAGAATGGTTTTAGTGGAGTTTCATCAGAGGAGGCCCGCGTTATTATGCGATTAACTGGCGGGCTTTCCGGGCGCAATCTCCGCGCTGGTCCCTCCTTCATCCAATTACACGAGTGTGAACCGAATGGAATTAGCCGGGAAACCGGCCCGGCCCGCGGTACCGCCCGTCTGCGATGAGAGCTCGTTGATTCCCACTACATTGTTAATATCTATTAACACTCGACTGCTGCTCTTTTATTGCAACTCTATCATGTCTTTTATAGTTTTTAACAGTAAATTTAAAAGGTATGCAACTAGATTAAGGCCGCTGAATAGATTCAGTAGTTAGAAAACCAATTTAGGTCAATCGATTCTTGGTATTGACGATTTAACGAGGACGGTAGCTGGAAATAATTACGCTCGGAAGGATATTCGCTCGAATCAATAATGAAACGAAAATCTCGCCATTTAACGGTTCAGAATGAGAAATTCTGCTATCAATTTCTAAAGCGACTAAAGCAACACTGAAAAGTGGCCGCTACGAGGACTGAGTTGTTTCTTGTAACAAAGAGGGTAGAGCGGTCTCTTTGTTGTTAAGTGGCAGCGCAAGGGGCGCGGGGAGCGGGTGCGGGGTGCATTTAGTGCGGCATGAATAGCGGGTAACTGCACTTCGTCAGCCGTCCGTCCGGGAGTAACAACCTGCAATGCACCCAACACCCCCTAGCCGCGCAGTCTTGTCTCCACCCGAGCTATTAACACCTCACATCATCTCCACGACACCCATTTGTTGTTGTACCATAATTACACTGCACAGCAAGTGATTAGCTTATCACAAATATGTACCTTCACATAGCAGTCAATTAGTAATTGTACCTAAATACACAGGCTTACTTCATCTTCTATTGATTTATTTAGCCAACCCTTTCTCATAAAATTATATCAATGGTCCCTAGGGGTCCCGTTTGCGCACCACTAATTTGCCGCACTCTCTTCATTGTTGTTCAATTAATGAGTTAGTATTTTACATAGCCACGAGAGGTTTACTAATTGCTCAATAAATTAATGTTAAATAGAAATACCTAATGACGATTGGATAGGCATAACGATCGATAAATTAGAAGTAACTACATAGTATTAGCAAGGCTGATACTGAAACGGAGGAGAGATAATGTCCGTAAACAAGATTAATCGCCGAGAGCGGCCGGCGAATCGGGAAGTCTATACTGCGAACCGCAGAATTGCGTAATTACCGTAAAGGAAGTCGGCCGTTTAGAGCAAACAAAAACGCAGGCGACTCGATCAGTGGCGGGAACAAAGGCGGGTGTAATTTGAAACAATCGGCGGTGGTGCAGAGCGGCCGGTGGCGTGGGCGCGCGCCCCGCCGACTATTGATCTGACGAGTCGCGGCCGCGCCACCCGCCACCCGCCTCCCAGCACCCTGGCGCCTCGGAGACCACCCCAGCCTCGCCCGCCTCGTTTCGCACACAACCCGTATTTTAATTGCAAATCTGCCAGATAATGTGCAAATAGATAACGGTATTATACTCGGCTCGCTAACTAATTATGAAGCGTTATCGAATTACAAGCTCGACATACTTTAGCGCTATAAACAGAAAGATGATGTTTTTTAATCAATTAACTTACAAGGCGAGACATTAACAAGTAAGTAATAAAAACAGGGCATGTAACTAACTGCGCGTTAATTGTATTAGGTTTTAATTAGAACTCGGCTCGAGAGTCGAGCTCCATTAGACGTACTCGATGTGTCGCGGAGATATTCTTTTCGTTTTGCATATAAATGGGTCGATCATCAGTCCTCCCTCGTTCCGATTTGTTGTGGAACCGCTTATTTTCCATTTCCCTCGCCCACAATCTGGGTCGTTCCAGTGCCGGANTGATGCGTGCGTCAGTGATCTGATGACACTAGTGACTCCACTCGGCCGCTCGACGCCTTCCTCACGCAGTTGGGCGAGGCGGAGCGCCGCACGCGCCACGAGCAGGAGGTCANTCGTTCGCAGTTTCCTTCGGAAATGATCGCGATAAGAGGAAATGTTTTAATAGATTTTATTATCGTTTAGAACTCCAGTTCACTGTATTATATTATACCTTTTGAGGTATTCTTAGACGAGAATTCTTTGTTATAACTTAATTATTCACAGTCCGCAAGATGTTTATCGTTTATGATGAATCTGATTTGAAATTAAATTGTATTTTTATTTGCGCGTAAATATAGGTTTAGGTACAATTCAAGTACGATACGTTAATATAAAAGGGTTTTAATGTACAATGACATTGCGGAGTCTTTATACAGGGTGGCCAAAACAGTGAGGTCTAAAAGAAAAAATTAGATTCCTTACATCAAGGTGTATCTAAATCACCCCCATGTGTATAGTACGATTTTGCTTAGTTTAGGAGATAGAGTTAATTTTGTGATATTTTAAAATTCTATAACCTAGTAGGCTTTAAAATTTTTTATCTTTTTTTTGGGTTGACTTTTCTCAGATTTCTTTTTTTTGACAGATTCGTTATTAATTGCAGATATTTGAAAAAAATAATCACCTTCCTATCTTTGATGCAAGATACAAAAGTTTTGCTAGAAACATTAAAATTATGCTCTTAGCAGAACACTATCAAATTTTGAACTTAAAAGTTTAAGTAAAAAAAAGAATTTCCATAGGTCCAAAACCATTTTAAAAACTGCGCCGTTTCCTGGACATTCGTAATAATACAAAAAAACATGTACTTAATGGGCCACTATTTCCTGTAATCGCTCCACTAAAGTAGTAAGTCGGAGATTCCGTTACATGTTTTTGACTTTCTTAGAGTGAATTAATATTGGGTATCCTCTAAGTTTACATTACGTAGAACAGATTTAGAGACAATAACTGGACAGAACATGATTTTATTCTTAACGAGGAAGCTCTTGCCCTTCATCACACCTGGTGGAAACTGATGATTAGGCTGAAGGTGGAAGGGAACTTTAACTACAGAGGAACTATGGCTTCCTACCTAGCCAAATGGTTTTGGACCTATGGAAATTCTTTTTTTTACTTAAACTTTTAAGTTGAAAATTTGATAGTGTTCTGCTAAAAGCAAAATTTTAATGTTTCTATCAAAACTTTTGTATCTTGCATCAAAGATAGGAAGGTGATTATTTTTTTCAAATATCTGCAATTAATAATGAATCTGTCAAAAAAAAGAAATCTGAGAAAAGTCAACCCAAAAAAAAGATAAAAAAATTTAAAGCCGACTAGGTCATAGAATTTTAAAATATCACAAAATTAACTCTATCTCCTAAACTAAGCAAAATCGTACTATACACATGGGGGTGATTTAGATACACCTTGATGTAAGGAATCTAAATTTTTCTTTTAGACCTCACTGTTTTGGCCACCCTGTATTCTTAAAATTATTAGGTCGTCTGGAGAACAGCTGAAAGTCACTCGGTCGGTCTCCTCGCGACTTTCAATGACGTTGCGTACATTGTTGTGGGCTGCTCATCTTAATAGACTGACCTCTCTATTGTTTTAGGCTTTACATTAGGGGCCAAGAGCTTGTGTGAAGTTATGCAGTATTAAAAAACGACATTTTTAGTAAACACGTACTAACAGATAAACGTTTTTGTGTTGTTAATAGGCTAGTTGCCTAAAAAAATTTTTTTAGTCCGTAATGTTTAATATCAAAAAATATTGGACACGTATATTTTTATTTGTCAATCTAACAAATAATTACATAGTTATGGTGCGTTGAAGTTGCGCACGACGTCACAACGTGCGGCATTTTTAAGCAAGCGTTGACGTCACGGGCCTCTTCTTATGAACTTTGGGGCGCTTTATCTCTTTAAATTTTCATTAGTTTGAAAAAGTGAAAAATACGTGTAGAGTATTTTTTGATAAGTTAACTGACGGACTAATTAAAACTCTTGCTTTTTGACCCAGGCAACATCCCCATTATGTTATTCTTAAAATATATTGTTTTGTAATAGGTATCTAACTGATAGGATATTTGTTTTTTTAGTTATTCAAGCGAGCTTGTGAACACATGAAAGGTTTTATGGGTCGTTCATGGAGATATTAACGCCGTGGCGATGTTGCTATAACAATAACCTCATTAGACACTATTAAAATAAATCGTTGCTATGAATGTGGAGGGAGTCTAGCTACTATAACAGTATGTAGGTAATTTGTTCTGCTAACGATATTAAGATGGATTATACATTCAATATTAAATAATATGTAATGTAAATTATTATTCATATACAAGATAGGTACGCCGTAATTTATGGATAATGTTTTACCTGTTGATGGTTGGTGTTTAAGATCATGTTTTTATTATGTCCTTTTGTGATTTAAACTAATATGAATTTGTATTAAATTAGTGGAAATTGCGTCATTTATGACTTCGGTAAGCAGGAAAAAAACGGCTGTGTGACTGTGTACCTACATTAAAAATTAAAATGTCCTTTAGGACATTTTAATTTTTAACATTAACTTTCAAAAACAACATTAACGCAACTAACTTTGAAAGTTAAAAGGTATAAAAAGCTTTTTCATCGCTCCTAAGAATCTATGATGTTTCATCCAAGATACACTCGCAATAACGTAGTGTCGTATTAAATTGACTTTCGTCTTTCGTACGTCAATCCTTTGGCGATCAATACAACAAAGCCACCGGCCCGTCCGCACGTGTCGGAGGCTTGGTTACAGCGAATTAATTTCCAATAAATTGAAGTGACATGCCTTGGCGCTTAGATGTCGGCGATTGGGTGACATTCTTACAAATACGCCGACACTAATTTGTAAGCTTCGAAGGTAAAATTACTGCGTCATAATGGAAATTCACGACATTATTAATTATGCCCATGAAACGTCCTGTGCCACTTGTTCATGCTATCAACAGCATATTGATGGATAATAATGTGTGATTAATAATGAATCATATTTTGCCTTTTCAGTAGCCACCGCCGAAGTAGCGGTTTTGAAGAAGAAAATGAAGAAAAGACAAAACTTTCCGCCTAACATGACCGTGTCCCAGATGATGGTGCAGAGAGAACGACCACTTAACGACTTCAAGGTATTATATTTCAATTAATTGACTAGTAGTGACTCATGAAGTTATAATTATGCCGGATAATTAATTTACTTGCATTATTTACAGTCAATACTTAAACGTAGTTATTGCATCTTTTATAAACGTGCATTATTGTTTTCAGCCGCAGGAGAACGAACACAATCGGACGGTTTCGCCCGGTGTAGGGCCCCAGCGGCCGAACAACGGTCAGTCTTGTCTACCCACATTTGCACCCGTGCAACAAAACTTACTGAACGCCTTCCCGCAAGACAATGAGCCCAAACAAGACACGCACATACAAAGGAGCTCCCACTACCTCACTGTCAGCAGCGGGTGGATCACACAACAGCAACAAGAGACCGGTGAAGGACAAAAGCCTTCCCAGCCCAATACACCCTCGGCTAATGCGCCGCCAAATGTCAACATGCCAGTATTAGGTACCAATGGACAGATTATCGGAGTCAACACCACCTACACTAAACAAACTAATTATAAAAACGTCATGGGCGTCGTAGCACAAAATATGATCGAACAAGAAGTTAAAGATGAAAAGAAAGACATTCCAGTACAGCAAAACGTTCAACCCTTAAAGAATTCGGTTAAAGAAGAAGAATCCCAAATTTTTTGTGGTCTGAACCAAGCACTGACTCCCGAAGTGATGCAAAAAATCAACGAACAGCAGCAGATCTTCATACAACAAAATCAGAAACAAATAGAAATAGCTATGAAAGGTTTTAAAACGCAGTTGGCGGAAAACGTTAGTCAATGTAAACTCCAAAATCAAAATCAGTATGTGCCACAAGGACAGCTAGTGATACAAAACGGAGCTGTCGTCAAAACCAACCTTGCCAAAACTCCACCGTGGCAAGTTAAGAGGAACGATGCAAACAATTCTAACCAAATGACGAGCCCTAACATGAAATCGCAAAAAATAGAGAATTTGGACTTTGAAGAGTCCAATGCAAGCATATCAGATGAACCTGTAAATTCATATAACTCATTCCCTAACAACGAGCATCACATGAGCCAAGCGATGTGTTCTCGGGTGCCACCTTTACCCCAGCATTACAACATGCTAAATCAACAATGGCCTAATATGGAAATAAATAAGAAAAAGGTAAAAAATAACAGTAAGGGATCTAAAAAGAAAGCTAGTCCAACTGAAAACAAGTTGGTATCGTTTGGTGGTAATGGCATGCGGCATATGCCAGATAATAAAAATGAAATGCCTCATAATAACGTGCCGTCATTCATGGATGACCCAAGTGGTTATCTAGCACAACAAACAGTGTTATTGAATAACACGATATCTAGACAAGGTATTAACTCATCGTATGATGCAAATCATTACGATAATCCTAATTGTTACGGCGGACAAAATCAGGTTGAGAGGTCGTGCAAATCTAATAATAAACCTTTCGACGTAGCCAATACCTACAGGGGTAATCTGGTGCCAAACCCTTCGCCATCGCCCAATAACACCCCAGATAGCAGCGTAGTGTCGGACAAAAATATGGATAGTCAAGTTCCTCAATGCTGCAAAGGTTGCAATGTCTCAATAAAAGGCTGCGGAACAGAATTTTCTGAACATCAAATGAGATTTAAATATATGAAGCAGTGTTCGTTCAAAATGGAAACTGACGGAAATCTCGCTACTTGCAGTCCAAAGCACAGCTTTGATGATAACCCAGTAACGTCATCAACCTTCATCGACCGAAGTCCTTTGATCAACGATAACTGCGGGCCAATTCAAGCCGGGACGGTCAGTACCAGCAATGTGTCTCCGACTGAGACGTTACAACCTCCCGAACCCTCACCTACTTTGTCCAATAGTTCGAGGAATACAGATACGCCACACAGCAGTGGCAGCAGCGGTACGCAAATGCAGTCCAATTGTTCGTACCCAATTCCTAGTCCCGCATACTCTAATCCAGGATCTTGTAAAGAGAACTTCAATAGTAATCCGCCTACTCCCGGAGGAGGACATGTTTATTCCTTCAACTCGCCTGGACCTCCTAACAACCAATCTATCAGTGGAACACAAATGATGCACTTCATATCAAACCATAACGTCAATAAGAATCTAATGGAAGTTGACAACATATCAATGGTGGGAGTCAAACCTGGAATAAAACCTATTCAGGATACGTTTAGAGTGGAACCTAGAAGACGAGTAGAAAATTCCATGCCAGGTTACTGCCCGCCTCCACATTTAGGCGGCGGCCCAGCACATTCCCTGATACAAACATGTTACGTTCAGACGTTCGTTACAACAATGGCGAGTGGATTTTCCGTCACTCGCGATACGGTCACATCAGTTTTAGCCGGAAAAGCTAACACCGCTACAACATCCATTAACGCGTCTCAAGCTAACTTCATTAGACCGCCACCGCCTCCGAGCGTCAATCTAGCGACCACTTATGCCATTCCTAATAATCAACCCGATCCATTTATAAACTCGGTCAATTTACCTACAAGCTATCCGCTTCACATCGCTGGTACGACAGCTCAGAATATGATATCGAAATCGCCATTCGAAATGGTACAAAACGTTATCGGCAGTTTACCTTCCAAGCCCGAAACAAGTAACGCGCAAACTACGAGCTTGTCGCAAATGTCGAGGAGGCCGGGGCACACCACACCCGGTCAAATTTTAATATCTTCCACTGGTCAAATAATAGTATCAACTAACCAAATGCCTCCACCACCCCCGAAGACAACGACAGCTGTGTCGCCTATACAAGGCTCAAACGCCGTGACCAACGTCACCACGTCAGTAACGCAAGTCGTCCCCGCAGTGGGAGGGGTCCAGCAAATGGTCAACCAACCCACCGTGGTCGTGAACACTTTACCTGCACCTTTCGTTATACAACCGCCTATGATGGCCGTCGACGGCCAAGTCGTCCAGCAAAACACTGTTATGCCCCAAATCGGCATCGTGTCTGGGCAGTCTCCGAACGAAAGCCCTCGTCAGATAGATATGAAAAACGGACAGAGTTTCGTCCAAGGGGTGGCCATGCTTTCGCCCGAGAGTATGAAAAAGAGGAGCAAGAAGAAGAAAACTACGAGCATCACAAACGTCCTGCAAATAGCTGCACCCCAACAGAACCCGAACAATCTCATGGTTCACCACACGTCGCCGCAACACAATTCTAGTCCACAGTTTTCGCCGCGCGGCTTCCAGCTATCGCCCAACAATAACATTTCTCCGACGCCGATGCTGCAAGCGTTGACGATCGTCCCCGGAAAGTCCGGCACCCCCGCACACATAGTGATGAACGGCCAGGGGAGCACGAACAGTTTCGGATCTCAACAGATCATCACGAACACGTCGCCCTCGCAACAAATAAATCTGCTGCAACCCGTGAATCTGATCAACAACGCGAGCGGCGTGATGCCGAACTTCCCGGCTTTCCAGCAGTTCATAGTGCCGAACCTCGGCGGCATGGTGATGACCACCGACGGGACGGCCATCATCCAGGACGGCTCGACCGGCATGCCCGTGCAGCTGCAGCTGCAGACCGTCAACGGGCAGAACGTGCTCACGCCCGTGCAGACCCCGGGCGTGTTCGCCGGCGCCAACGGCGGCGTCGTCATCCGCGCGCAGGGCCAGCAGGGCAAGATGATCCAGTCGCAGCACAGCCCCGGCGCGCAGTTCCTGTCGCCGGGCGGCCCGGTCGTCGTCAACGGGCCCGGCTTCAACGGCCAGCTGAGCCCGCTGCTCGCCAACCTGAGCCCCACCGGCGTGCAGTTCAACGCCGGCCCGCAGCCGCGCGGCGGCGCCGTGCAGCAGGACTTCGCGCAGAACCAGCTCGGGCAGGCGACGGTGCCGCTGTCGCCGAAGCGCGCGCTCGCGCCCGGCGCCGGGAGTCGCGGCAACTCGACCTTCGTGCAGCAGAACACGACCATAGTGCAGCAGCAGACGACGCTCGTGTCGAACTCGCACTCGCAGCTGGGCGGCGGGCGGTCGCGGCTGAGCATCGACCCGTCGGTGCTGCTGGCGCCGAAGCCGAAGGCCGCGGGGGAGGCGGAGGCGAAGGGCGAGGAGCTGGCGCGCGGCGGGGACTTCGTGCGCCACTCGGTGTCCACGCAGACGCTGGCGGGCGCGGCGGCGGCGGGCGGGCGCGGCAAGTCCCCGGGCGCGCCCGACACCACGACGCACAGCCCGCTGGGCGCGCTGGAGCCGGCGGCGTCCCCGCGGCGCCGCGCGCGCCCCGACACCACCACCAAGTCCCCGGAGCCCGCTGACGCCAGCTCATCGGTGAGTTAAACGTTGATGATTAATATCTGCATCCGTGTGTATTAGTTTTGTCTCTGTTTTAGTTTGTATTTAAGACCCTGACACACGATTTGGCCAATTTTTTTGTGGCACAGGCGTTGCTTTTTTGCTCTGCATCGCACTTAACTGTTTAACCCGATTCTGAACCCTACTAGTAACATATTGACCTACGCGACATATTCTCATAGAAAGTATGTTTGATTAACAGAAGTCTTAAACGAGCATAAAAAGTCAAAACTCATTATTTTTGAACATTCAGACAAGAGAATAATGTTCAAAATATGCTGGGAACTATTTTTCCACTGCCATTTAAAGGATCAAAAATAAGCCGACAACTCGCGACGTGACGCGTCTAGACTGTCACTCGGGTGTGACAGAAATTAACTACTTAGCCTGCCAAAATTCAGGCTATGATTACAGTAATCTCACTTGTTGGCTTGACCACGCCCCTTTTATACTTAATTTTGATTATAACATTTTTTGACAAAAATATGATGATTGCAAGCCTGACACCAAATAAACATTGATGCATTTTAAAAATCGTGAGTATCGTGACCATAAATAAGCGCTAGTGCGCTCAGAGCATGCATCAATAATACTAATAAATTAAAACGCAAAAACTATGTAAAAGTCTACGTACATGACATTTTAAATGATCTGCAAATAGCATGAGTTGCGAATGTTTAATGTGTTAATTAGTAAGTGACATCGGAATTTTGATAAACGTTAGAAATTAGGCAATAATTCAAGTCGAAGTCTTTACATATTATTATTTGTAGTGCGTTTTTTGTGCTTTTCAATTTTAACATGTCCTTGTTGCATTACGTTTAAAAGAATGCGCTTATTATGCGGCTAGATTTGTTTATTTTTTTATTTTAATATCGAAGTTATATTAGGTAAGAAAGAAAGCAGTTCGCATATTAATCGCCCCACTATAAATGTACGGCGCGTGGTCGGCGGAAATAAGATCAATGACCAGAAGTGATTACTTTTTATTGATTTACTTCTCCGGCCGTCACGCCTCCCACGCGCCAAGGGTGTGTTTATTTTTACATGGTTTGCTTATCATTGGAATATCTATTTGGATCTTAGGTGCCTCAGATTATAAAAAAAAAGTATTTAACTAGTTTAAGCAATATTCTCAAAAAATCAAATGATTAGTTTTTAAAGGGTCTTTGTGGCTTATGCAAGACTTGTGGTTTCAAAATGATTTTTAACTAATACCTCAGGCTCAGCTACACTACTCGCGACGTTAATCAAATAAATAGTATGAGCACACAATATTTAACTTGATGTGCCGTCGTCAGTCTATGAAACAAAATCGCCTCTATTACAACGATATAAGATGCCACAGTGTTCAAACTGATATGTCGTCATCCATTTATACATTTCTGTCGAAAAATCGCCCCTATTCCATCTGCATAAGGTGCTGCAGTGTTCAACTTTATGTATTGTTGCCTGTGCCTTAAGTACATACGCATAAGAGTAATATCATAGAGATATAGATGCCAACTAATGCAGTGAGTTCGAAACTCAGTGTTGCTTTAGAAATTCACACACACAAAGTAATGAAAATAAAAACAATAAGTCGCGAAGAGTGTGTGTCACGCACACATCACATTCAGAGCTACTATTCGTACGCATACCAGGTTGCAAGTAATGTACGTACAGCACCACTACATACGTAGCGATGTGCGATTGAATGCATTCTATTAGTTTCAATGTGCTCATTATCCACTGCGGTTCGTTCGTTCGTTCGTTTCAGCCAAATGACGTCCACTGCTGGACAAAGGCCTCCTCCAAGGTTTTCCACAATGCACGGTCCTGCGCTGCCCGCATCTAGGCTCTTCCCGCGACCTTTACGAGATCGTCGGTCCACCTAGTAGGAGGCCTGCCCACGCTACGTCTTCCAGCCCGTGGTCGCCACTCGAGAACTTTTCTGCCCCAACGGCCATCGCTGCGGTATCAGTACTCAACGTTCGAATAATCTTTAGTAATACGCAAGCAATCTAAACTGTTTACATATATGACGTCGCTGCTATCACGAGCAATGTGTTCTGTTTTTGGGCATATTGCTGCGACACTGGCCCCGCCCTCTTGTCACATCTTCTTTTAGTTGCTCTGATAACGAGTTAATAATGGTGATGTGTATTGCAGGCCATGGTGCAGTGCGTGTCGAGTAGTGAACAGGACATGGCCGAGTCCCGCGAGCACGCCTGGCCCGCGCCGCGCCCTGACTTCGGCAGCGATAGCGAGAACCAAAGTGAGTCGTTACGTTGACCCCTTTACATCAGGGACTCGAGTAAAGTAGTGTTTGTTGCAATATAGCATTTATTACCACTACATTAAGCACCACAGTGCTTGATGTTCTATAGCCTGAACCCGTACTATTCGCTTTAAAAAAAGCTTACGTAAAAAAATCTATGATGAACAATATTGTTATATTGAGAATGATTGTTTGTATGTACACACTCTTATTAAATCTTCTAGTCAGATATTGATAAATCTTGACAATGTTACAGATATTATGCAACTTTTGTTTATTTGTTTCTATCGAAATCTACGCGGGTGAAGTTGCAGGAAATACCTAGCTAGTACTACATAACAGTAAAGATAATTTTAGCATCGTTACAAACTCTCACAAAGAATCAAAGTATGTAGATTAATAAAATAATTTACACACTCAATTTTGTACGTCTCCCTTCCAGATATGATGTCAAATGTGCAACTGATGCGTCAAAATCGCGTTCACAATTCAGTGGAATCATCCGAACTGCATTATAACCAAAATATGAACGCGCCAGCGGTGAATAACAACCAACACAACGCTATGCCTATGTCATCGAATTACTATGAGCGAACCTACTCTAATAAGCAGACGTACAAAAGGAAGAACGATTTTGGCGATGGCCCCACATTCCGGACTGAGAAAATTATGAGGACCAACTACAACATGGTCCATGGACTTCCCAAGGAATCAGAATTCGAAAACATGGGGATTACTTCGCCGGAGAAAGTACCGACGAGGCAATTCCCTCCCACTGGGACCAGTTCGGACGCTTCTGCTATCCAGAAAGTGTTTGACAGGCATAATTTAGGTTCCGGCGACGGTAAGTGATGTTTCCATGTTTTGTATGAACCTTCTACTTGCTATGCTTTAACTCTTTGCTACTTAAACTTTTCAATGGGAACTGTATTCATCGCCTTGATTGTATCGACAGCACTATAAATTATAAATGGATTCGAATTTTTCTAGCAATAACACTTTAAATTCTCGCACAAACGGTGGTCCTATTTTTATTGTGTAAAGATGTTTAAAATTTTCTTATTGGACTGGGACATATTCTATTAAAAATATTTTTGCAATTAATTCCTTACACATAATAATAATATAAGTTTAAAAGTTTTACGTTATCCAAATTGGCACTGAAATTGTTCAACTACTAACTAAAGAGATCACATCCAAACTGATCCAAACTTTACTGTTCTCAATGAAATTTTGTACAAGTACTGCCACAGTTTACTAATTATCCAGAACCATTTCACGCTTTAGTCACAGCTAACAAAATTCAAAATTACTAGTAATGTTGTGTCTTGTATTGGTTTTGGATTGATTGTCATGCCGGCGAATTTACTAAATTGCAAACGATATTAGTTACGTTTTATGAAAAATACATAATGATGTGTATTGTGGTATATTTCAGCTTCTACATAATGCGATACTATTGGTCATTGGTTTTCTTTTGGTTGGGTTAATACAAGATACAGCTGTTAATAAAGGGTGTACTGGAAACTAATCAGAATAAAGTGATGTGCAGCGTTCAAACGTTCTCACCCGGCTTTCTGTCGCTTCCATTGCACCACACTCGAAGTAACAAAATTGGCTCACAAATTGGGATTCCATTACTAACGCATCATTGTCATCATTTCATCTGTTCATCGTTGTAAGTAAAGCACATTTTTCGTATTAATGTAATATTCTTCTGGCTTAAGGGAGAATACATTCTCATCTCTATATGTACCTATTTACTATGTAATCATTACTATATGTGCTTTTTGTAAATAACGTATTAATAAGATGGTTCTGAGATTGTATTTTTCCATGAATTGGAACCAGTTACTAATATTGTTAATGAATTAACAGCAATTTTCCTCAATAATGTTTGATGTACGTACATACATAATAATGTATTGTTTAACTTCAAAATTGCACTGTAGAAGTTCGATCCCAAGTTACTGTAAAATCTGACGATTTTTAAAAGATAAAGACGTGTCGTCCATGTATCAAGATCATTGTGACCTATGTCTAAAAATGGCGGACAAAGATGAAACATATCGTAGTGCAGTTTTAAATGTTTGCTACTAACAGCACATATGTACAAGAAAAGAAAGACACAATCATGATATACCGCGATTTTGATCCATATAATTTGCCTCCCAGTCTTGAGTCTACAAGGAGATACAATGACGATATTATGGTCGTTGGGTCGCTTTCGTCTCATTCCGGACTCAAGATAGTGAGATTGTATTTTGAAGTTTTAATTTTTGTTCGCCATTTTTCGTAAACGTCAGGGTCTCAATGTCTTTTCTGTTTATTTGAAGTCGGCCAGGAGAAACGATTAGGGCACATAGGCGGTTATCACACTGCGCCGCGAGTATTGTAAAAGTGCTTTTTTAAAGCCAACTTACAGAAATAAATGAGTTTTTTACTGAGTACCTCAGTTTGTATAGAAAACACGCGCGGCACTTCACACTGACAACGCGTCCGCGCGCGTGATTATTTATATGAAAATCACGCGCTCCGCGGCGGAGCGCGGCGCAGTGTGATAACCGCCATACTGACGAGTTTTAATATGTAAAAAAAAGAATTTTCAAAAGAAGAACGGTCATCTGTGACCCAGGCCCGACAGAAACGAGACATACCACAGTTTTTTTGTCATGTCTTAATTAGTTAAATTATATATTTTTTATATTCGAAATCTATGTATAACACCAAAATATTACCCTTTGTTTTTGTTCAGGCGTTATACAAAAACTAATACAAAATGACTATTTATCACCAAAATTGGTAAATTTATGTACCTAAATGTCTATTACAGCTGCTATGGAATGTATCTAGGTAACCTAGAGATACAGCCGGATTATACAGGGTGGAAACGAGAAGTTACAAAATTCCAAAAATTCAATGTTACCAGCTTCCATAATCTGTAACCTGTTATTGGTACCATTTAAAAGAGCTCGTGAAGCACTTTCAGAATCAGTAACTAGTTTTTCGATATCTTGTATAGTTTAGAAATAATCGAATGAGATCACTTATCGTTCCATATGTATAACCACCCTGTATAATCCGGCTGTATCTCCAGGTCACCTAGATACATTCCATAGCAGCTGTAATAGACATTTAGGTACATACATTTACCAATTTTGGTGATAAATAGGCATTTTTTTATTAGTTTTTGTATAACGCCTGAACAAAAACAAAGGGCTATATTTTGGTGTTATACATAGATTTCGAATATAAAAAATATATAATTTAACTAATTAAGACATGACAAAAAAACTGAGGTATGTCTCGTTTCTGTCGGGTCTGGGTTTTTTTTGTATGGGGCGTGACCGTTCTTCTTTCGTTACTGTGAATTTTATTGTGTGACGCGGCGTCGGATCGAGCTTCTACGCTTGCACGGAGCGGTGCAGTGACGGGCGGATGATCGGTAGATGGCAAGCCGGCGGAGGCGGGGCCGGCGGCGGGCTTCGCGGCGGGCGACGTGGTGTGGGGCCCGGTGCGCGGGCACGCCATGTGGCCGGGCTCGCTGCGGTCGCGCGCGGCGGACGGGCGCTGGGCCGTGCGCTGGTTCGGCGCCGCGCCCGCGCCCGCGCCCGCGCTCGTGCCCGCGCGCCGCCTGCTCACGCTGTCCGAGGGCCTGGAAGCGCACCACGCCGCGCGCACCAACCATCGGAAGTGAGTCTCCGCTCCGTCCACCGCCGCGGCGCCGAGCCAGGGACAACGCCCGGACTTTACGACCGTTGAGCCGCTAGCCCACATTCCGGAATAAGAATTTGTTAATAACTTTGATAGTGGTTGTTTTTGTTTCTGATGGCTCTGACTAGTTAAATGAATTTACACGACCTATTAGCCTCAATCATGCATGATAGATGAGATATAAAATAATTGGGAGTTAATCTCCGATAGCGAAGTAAAATAAATGTTAAGTCCTACTTCAATATTCTTCAAATAATCTCGTAGAAAAAATACAAAGAACCCGGATCATAAATCTCACAATGATGTACGCGATTGCCCTGTGTATGTCAGCGTACAAGATCTCAGTTCTATACTTGTTCATAGGGTAACGCAAGAAAAAACTAGAAAAACAATTTACAATATCATGGGCTAGCGACTCAACATATAAAAATAAAATATATTATGTAAATCTTAATTTTATGACCGAAGTGCGGTCGCTCCTGTACTTATTGTTTTCTTTTTTCAATTATGAACTATGTATTTTATTTTTACTAGAAAATTTACTTACCTATGTCACTAAACATAAGATTAACCCAACCCAAAGATTTCTGGTTCAAGTTGGCCATAAGTTAATAACAATTTTGAGCAGCGGAAATGTCCACATACAAAAAATTACTGTCGATCAGTGTTTGTTGTTACCCTTTAATGATTTACTTTTTTTTATTTAAACAGGAGTAGAAAATTAAACACTCTTCTTGAAAACGCGATTCAAGAGGCGATGGCGGAGCTCGATAAAAAAAGCGAAGGCGTTACCGAGAAACCACCTGAGGAAACGGAGGAGGAAGTCAACACAAGTGAAACTATAACCGAGACACCCAAAAGGAGCAAAAAGCAGGAAAAAGTCCGGAACAAAGACAAACATCACAAGAAAAATTCTGCAAAATTAGCACCAAATCTTAGTAAAACGGGTGACACCAGTCGATTGCGTAGTTCGCGATGACATTATAGCGATTCAACGCCCTCACCGGGAATATGCAGAAACTGGACTTACGAGGCCATCGCACTTGACGCGAACGAGCCAGTTTGGAGAGCGAGCGACAGGTGGCGCCACTGGGACAGTGGGATTTATTGGGCCGATTGTTTAACGCTACAGGATTATACAGACTCCGCCTTACAAAGATTTTAAGATTATTATTTAGCAATGTTAAATCACAACACGTCTACGTGAAATTCTGAGACTGGGGTGCTACCACAAAACGCTACAAAAATCACACAACATGAACTCTATGAAAGCTTTCTTATCGATTCCTGTAAGATAAATTTTAATATTCAGCGGTGTTTAGTAAACTTAAGAATAAATTAAATGTTATAATAGTTAGACAAATATTGAGATTATATGGTATATATATTTGAATTGCTTATTTCTCGGGTTTATAAAAATTCTGCTATAGCATTCACAAAAATATATGATGTAAACTTATTTTCAAATATGTAGTAATAATTGAACAATAGAAATTTCATATTTATCATTTCATTGCAAGTATTTTATTTGCATAGATTCGTTTGGACTTATTATGAGGTTCCTAAAAGTAAATGTATGTATTACAGTGCAAAATTTTTAGAATTTCTTAACAATTGACGTTATCAGTGGTTAATTACTGTTTTTAATATTAAATGTAATTTTAAGGGATAACAGTGGTTTAAAATCATTGTTGTATTGCGTTACTCTTTAGAATAGGTAGCGTATTAATTGTGTAGATGTCTTTTAAATATCGAAGTTAATTCCAACACCTGTCATCGATGTATTGTACAATTATAGAAAACTGTAAATTGATAAGAAATTATGCTATATATCGTGTAAATTTATGTGTTTTGTTAGAGAGTAATAAGTATAACATGATTTCTAGTCAAAATATTGAGCATATTGAAATGTAGATATTAAATATGAAGGTAATTGACAATAAAACTGGCCTGGCGTTTGTTGACGTTGCGCATTACCTGTCAACATTGTTTCGTTTACATAATAAATTAAGTACAGAAGCATTATTGATTTCTATCGTCGTCGATATGTATTTGTTTGCATTGAATAATTTTATACTTTTGTTATAATTGTAATGCTAGACATAATAGTTGAAATATCATATTGTATTTACAGATATGTACTCGGACATAGAGTATGGACTCTTTCAAACTAGTTATAGCAGAGTCCTATTTCTAATTTTATACGTTTTTTACATAATTATTACAGTTATTATGATGTTTCATGGACATTATTAGGCCTACTGCTTAGTTTATATTCTACAGTTTTGACCTTGGACAAGTATTTCGAACAAAGTTTCACAAAAGCATCACGTCGACATCACATTAGCAGGCCGTTTGGACATTTATGATGAAATTAAAATTTCACTAAATGTCAGTTATTGGGTAAGTGTTTGGTTTGTGGTACAAGGGAGATTATTTTAAAACATTTCAAAAATGCTTTTTAAAAAACAATATTTCAATTAAATTATAGGTAAATGATAAAGAGTTTTAAAAATCTAGGTAGAGTGTTAACTGTAGTATGTCATACCATGAGTACATTTGATAGGTAATTTGTTATCAACGGTAATTGTTAGATTTATCTATGTGCAAAATTAATTTATGTGATCTTTGGATTGTCCGGTAAATATAATATCAAGAAATTATCATAGCTTACTGTTTTTAATATCGTATTTTAACCTTAGAGATTCCATTTAAAATTTCCTAAATAATAAATGTGACTCCAGATATCGACATAGTATTTAATGTTAAATGGATATTGTTTATTATATTATAGTCGGATAGCACTTCCCTGTGAGATGGTATTATGTACATAATCTTAATGTAGTTATGTATAGTATTTTATTTCAATGAAATTAATGTTTTATAGACTAATATACAATATAAGATTATTTATTTGTTTTGCTGTGTACATATTTTTTTCAATAAAATGTACCTGTTTTATTTAAATATTTCTTATTCATTTAAACCTTCCTTTAACGACTACAGTACTTTTAAATACTTTCAAGTAGGTAACGCGCGAAGCTAAAATCAAACCTTTAAAAATAGTTCTTGTAATAGTGCGCAAGTGCGCAACTAACAAAATGTAGGAGTATTTTGTATAGCTCATAGAAATCACAAAAATAATAAAGTACTTATGCCTATTAAGTCGCTAAAATGCTTCATAGTTTTGGTGAGCATGCTACAGTTAGATAGTAATAATTGTACTATAGATACATTCTTATTTGTGTTAGTTCGCCTTCTTTGAAATTGAATTGAATTACGACATGACATCACGATAAAATGCATGGTACACCATCGGAAAAGTTACAGTCGATGACCGTGCAGCTTGACGGAAGTTTGAAAAATCCTTCACTTCCGATCAAAATTTCACTGACTGTGTAAATATAGGCAAATGAGATTTTTATGTATAGTAGGTACCTACGGCGTATTATTGGTTTTCTCATTAACAGAAACAAAATAATTTCACTTACTTATCGCACACAAATACATTGAATGAATACTTCTTCTTATACCTAAGGAAGATACCTACCTACGATTTGCAAAAAAAAATGTATTAGCTACAATAAATTATTTACTAATATGTATAGTAAGTAAGTACTTTAGTCTCATTACTTTACCTATTCTATTGAGAGTTGAGACGAGTAATATACATATACCTAATTTCAATTTTAATGCAATTTAAAGAGAAAACAATAAATACTGACTGATTAAAATAACGTTTTCTTTATTTTTCCCTCAAAATATGAGCCTTGTAAGGAAGTTTCGGTTTCGGTTTCGGTTTCGGCCGAAATAGACACCGTTGCCGAAATTCGTTTTCGGTTTCGGTTTCGGTCGTTAAACTAGTTTCGGTCGGACACTATTACTTAAACCAGAGTTTTTTCATTCGTCTTTAGTAAGTTTCAGTCATTTCAGTTCAGATTTACACTATTTTTTTTACTTTCCTACTTACTACTACCTAAGTACTTTACATTTTATCCATGTCAGAACAGTTTTAAATAAATTGTTTAATTGCTTCGAAGAAATTAGAATTAAGTCTTCGATTCCTTTAATTGCCCTTTAGCCGACGGCGCTATCCTTGCTAGAATTAGTCTGTACCTACGTTAAGCAATGTAATCCGATAAATGGGACTTGTAAGTAGTTCAGAGCTATTATTACGGGTATTAAAATAAGAGCCTCTATTTAGTGCAAATATGTAGGCAGTTTATATAATTACGCAATGCTATCTTCGGGATAATGTCAATAAATAAACGGTAATGTGTTTGTTTTGATGTGCCCACTTCCACATTTGGCGCTTGGAAGCATGTCGAACATCGGAGAGACATTTTAGTGCAACACGACCAACGTAACGAGACCCATCGTCGAGACTACAAATATTGTAAACGTCCGTCTATTTAATATGGGATGTGGGTTTCTTTTTATAGTGGTTGTACTTACAGTAAACAAATTCCGGTTGGCAAGTTTAAACATTTCCTCGGCCGTTACTCGCGAACGGCGTGTCCTATGGTCCGTGAAGTTATTGCCTTCACGACTTATTGACGCACTGAAAGTTTTTCTCACTATTAAATTGTTTGAGAGGTAGATATTATTAGTAAAGAATAAAAATAATTATATGTATTATCGTAGAAGCCTAGGAAGTTCAAGTTACCTAACTTGCCGCAGCTTTATGCTGTTATTTAAAATAATTCTGCACAGCAGTGCTATTTTAGTGTTTATCGGGAACTGAATACTTATACCCTGAGATCTCTATCATACTGAATAAGCTACTTAGATACTCAGTAACAAACACAGAACACCGCTGCACGCTGCTGCGTTTACGAGTTTGTCATTTGTAGGTACCTACTTGAATTTGCGGCATTTCGAATTAAATTACGAATTCAGTTTATCAACTTATACTTACTTATTTTTATGAATTAATAAAAATATTTAAAAATTAATACCTTTGAAATGCGATGCGACTGCAACCCAGCCACCACATGTCATGCCACTATTTGCGTATCAGTAAGTTGCGGTGTTCTTTTAATCCGCCAGTTGACATGACAAACAAACAAACAGCGAGCGAGCGTCCTAGATACAAGTTGTCGCCTGCAATATGTCCGGATTAAAAAATAATATTCTGCCCGTTTGCTTTCAGATAAAAGTGTTTGCGTTTTTGCAATCCTCATATATTGCCAGCTTTGTTAGATTTTATTAACAAGAAATAATAGAAACTAACGAACAAAATTTTTAAAAATGTTTTAGTAATATAATGTGTTTCTTTAATTGGCTTATGTTCAAGTTGTATCTTCCTGCACATTTACTTATGTACAATTTAATGCTTATGAAACATTGTTAAACAAATAAAAAAAAATAAAAAAAATAAACAACAATAGTCAACGTTCAACCTCAGAATAACTTGGTTCAACTTCCATTATAATTTTAGCGAACAGTTAATAATATAAAAGTTAATCTTTTTAGAGAACGGCTCAAATATTAGACATTTGTTTCTCATTATAAAATAAGCACCTATAACCATCTAAAATGCCAACTAATACCTATAAGTCTTAGTCATATCTCTATATCTAATATTTGGAGTAGTAGAAGCTCTTAGATTGTAATATAATAAACCCAAATAGTTGCCCAGGTCACCTTCATTATCTTAAATCCCAAGGGTCCTAACGTCAGTGTACTTACTACTTACCTACCTAGAGGGCTACAGAGGCCGTTTAAATACAATTTCGTTGTACAAGTACTTTAGAAGTAATTATGACAATTATGAGCTAAGTAGTCATTACGTCATACTGTAAAGAATACAAACGTGTTAAAATACTTAAGTGGGATTGTAGAGCTTCATGTAAGAAACTTAGTATCCACTTTACCGTAATAGGTACTTTTTTTTTTTTTTTTTTTTTTNGACGATCAGGCCGAAGGTGGAAGCGAGCTTCACCCGGAATCCTCAACCACGGAGGAACTGGCTATCTTACCTCTTACTGCCGGAACACAATAATGCTGTGAACATTGTTGTTATGGCGACAGACTTAGGTAAGATGGTGGTAGCTAGCCAGGCGGACTTAGAACAAGCCCTACCACCAACCAAACCGAACAGAAAAATCTGCCCCCACTGGGAATCGAACCCGGGACCTCTGCGTCTGAAGCAGGTGGTCTTACCACTAGACCACAGAGGCGGTTACAGAGACTACGATTAATGTAGGCATGTAAGGTAAGTAATATTATGTTTATTAAGAATCTCAAAAATGTTTGTAATGGGAGGTTTCCTAGGTACTTAATTCCTTAAAATACGAGGATGTACTCGTACACGTTCGTTAGCAAGTGAGCGTTAGAGTAATTTCTTGAAAATACTCGAATTGTTCCGCATCCTAGACGTCAGACGAAAACCAAATTTAGTGAAGGGCACTGATCGGCGTATTCTAGAATAATATGCTTCAGTTTCTTTATAACAATCTATAGCTACGAATTTGGTAGAATAACTTTAATATACAATAATTAAAATGCAGTAAGTATTGGAACCGTTCTTTATGTAGAACAAAATACATCATAATTATAAAAAACTAATTCGAAGCTATGAATTTAAACCAATGATGGACTTACTTATCTCTTAAATGACCAGCTGAATAACATAAGTATCAGTTCTTTGAATCTTATTTGAATTGAAAGCATCCTACCTAAGTTATAAAGATTGCGAAACTTAATTAAGTCTTACTTAAGTACCAGAAACAATCTTTGCTAAAATGGGAGTTGATAGAACTGTAATTTTTACTCAAAGTAATTACAAATTCATTATTATGGTAAGTTATATAAGGCCGTACATTTTATCATACTTATCTGATATTTAGAACTTTTAGAAGTTACATGTTGTTTCAGCAAAATAATGTTTTTTATAGCTAGATTTTGTTTCGGAAAAAGAAAACTGAAAATGAACATGTGTAGGTCCTTAGGTACCTAGTTTTCCTGTAAACATTTTGTTACAGGATTATGACTAAGGTTTTGCTAAAGTTTTTTTTACGTTTAATTATAGGCAGTCTGATTGACTCATTTACCACGTGTTCCTCTGCTGAAGTGAATTTACCGAAATCAAATATTATCGATAGCATTTTTCATTAAAAATTAACTCGTTTCCTGCACTACGTCGAAAGACAGACAAAGGCAAGCGAGATTAGTGCAAGGCGCTGCGGCGCATTCCGGGTGCTCCGAGCCAGCGCTGGGAGCCTCCTCTTACCAGAGTTCGTCTAAATAATAACTACGCTCGACGATTCCACCACAACGGAGGTAGGTAGGGTCTCTGCTTACTAAGTGGAACACTACTATGTACGAGTACTTACTTACTTACTTACTTGCAGATCACGTAGCTATAAAAAAATCCCCGGCTTTCTTCCCATTTGTTTACTCACCTATGTATTATTTTATTATTACTCCATTGTACACTTACTATGTTTAGAAGCCACGTTACTGCCATGCTTACTGTTTTTTCCATATTTCCCACATAAAATTGAGCAATAGATCTAGCGATTTCTATTTTCTTCTGCTTCAAAGACAACTCAACAATGTTTTTCAAATAGCCAGTACCTACTAGAACGTTGTTTATTTATAAGTAAGAATTACAAACCGGGCTGCAGATGTACTACATACCTA